TGCTACATGTATTAAATACCTAATTTGCATAATTAGTTAAATTTATGCTGTTCTATGGCTGTTGCACTGATGTCTAAAAACCACTCATTGGATTTCAATGAAACTTTTAAAAGAGTACCCATCACATTTCAATGAACCTAGGACTATACACCATATTAGTTTTTTGGTAAATATTTATGCTTCTTAATCACCTAATTAACATAATTAATTAATACTGATATCTCAAGTATTGATCATCACATTTGAATAAAACTTGGTACATAAATGCTCGAGGACAATAGACAGCCTGATTAATTTTGGGTTAAAATCTGTTCATATTAATTTTCTAATTAGCATAATAGTTACCGGATTCGGCTGATACCCTGCCCTGGGTGATCTTATGGAGGATTCGATTTTTTTTTAGAAAAATGTGGACCAAAAGATCGCCCGAGCGATGTCATGGCAGATATTACAAAGCCCATCTTGTCCGGAAAAATAACCATGCACTGATAAAAAAATAGTCTCAGAAAATGTTTAGAAAAAATAATGTTTCGCGTTGACCAAATATAATTATGCAAAGTATAAATTCAAAGTGTTTTAATACATTCGTGAAAGATCGCATTACGTGAACAAGAATGAAAAGCAAGCCAAAGTGAAAACGGGGTGCATCATGGACATGACACAACACACGCTGCAACAACCGAGTAATCAGCGAAATAATTTTGGGCGCAATTAAACTTCAAGTACTTCTTGACAAACTGTTGCTGCGCGGCGATACTGCTGACATCAAGTGTGTGTTGACCGAAGTTTGACCTCCAGTCAAGCACTGAACTGGCGCGTTGCCAGCCTTTTTCTTTCGTGTTCCGTGCGTCGGCCTAGTAAAATTGTTATTATATCTGACAACACTGTAATCACATAACTTGTCTGCAACTCTGGCTTTGAATATATCAACATCGTTTACTTGGTGCGCTGCTTGTCTAATGACGCAAATTTGTTTACAATATTGTACCGGCTCTGAATATTTCAACTTTGTAATGCTTTCATAATAATTACGCAAATTCAAGTAATTTATATTACCGATTTTATAATGTGTTGCACTCGTAATAATTACGCAAACATAAACATGGGCGCATTTAAATCATAGTAGTCAGGTGTCCTGTGATTCATCGATGTTCCCAATGGTGAATTATTTTATTCGAAATGAAGTGAATATGTAATACAGTGGCCCCTCGCTAAGTCGCGGGTGTTGGGATCCAAGTAAAAACCGTGACTTATCGAGGGCCGCGACTTACCGAGGGACGTCGTGAAAGAGGGAGGTCGTGCATTGAAAAACATATAAAAAGCACATATAAACCCTCGGTTTAGTTAATTGATGTATCATCACATGTGTCAGGCAGTATTCGAATAAAATCATGATTATGTTTGCTGTAAACATTGCGTTGATTATTTTGTTTGTGTCTGATATTATGTGGGCCGCTTGCTGTTGCTTGCGACTTCTACGGTAACAGCTTCCAAAATAAACCAGTTTCATCGCAATTATAAACATGTTCGTCAAAATAACCACCTTCATAGATAATTTCTCTCAGTTTTTCGGGAAAAGTTCTGACAGCGTCAAAACAACAATAGAAATTTTGGGAGCCATCAAAGTACCCGCGACTTAGCCGAATCGCGACTTACCGAGGCGCGACTTAGCGAGGGGCCACTGTATAATAAACTCTGGGCAGCACACTTCGATCGCATTATTCATGTACATTTCGACTGAACTCTACTAACCATGTGTTTGAATTACGTGCGGCATTGGGCAAGGACCTCCAGAATTCACGCACTGAAATTTAAATTTGGGTCACTCAGCTTCACCCAAATTAATATAGTTACCTATCATTTGTTCAAAAAATCTTTCAACTCTCACAAATACCACGAATGCGAAGAGTTTATTGAAAGGGAACGTCTTTTTTGGACAAAAAAAACACGTCAAATACAAGATTATGTGTGCAAGGTTAGATTTCTAGAACGTACAAGACCGCTTAACTCTGTGTTTTTTAATAATCATGTTGCATGTGAAACGCAGGAAACATTTTAGTTTGCCCATTTCC